ATAAGTCCGAAGTTTTATGTCCTTAAAGGAGTAGTTCACTTTTGAAAAAACTTTTGCTGATAATTTACTCACCCCCATGTCATCCAAGATGTCCACGTCTGTCTTTCCTCAGTCGAAAAGAAATTTAGGTTTTTGATGAAAACATTCCAGGATTTTTCTCCATATAATGGACTTCAGTGGGAACCAAACGGTTCAAGGTCCAAAAGACAGTTTCAGTGCAAACTGTTCAAAGGGCTTTAAACGATATCAGACGATGAATAAGGGTCTCATCAAGCGAAACGATCGGTTATTTCAAAGCTTATTCCAAAAATGTAACTTTTCTAAGGACAAATGCTAGCCTTGCTCTATTCCGTGAGGCGCGTTTGCAACGTCACGTAGTACGTAATTACGTTCAAAAGGTCACGGGCGACGTAGCCAGAACTACAGAGTCAGTGTTTACAAGTTGAACGCATAGGTTGAACGTGCAAACTAACTCAAACGCCGTTTACAAAAAAAGGAATTAAAAGGAAAAACAACGATGTCGGACGATTTTGATTCCGTACTTCCGGCTACGTCGCCCGTGACCTTTTGAACGTAATTACGTATTACGTGACGTTACAAACGCGCCTCAGAGAATATAGCAAGGCTAGCATTTGTCCTTAGAAAAGTTACATTTTTGGAATAAGCTTTGAAATAAGCGATCGTTTCGCATGATAAGACCCTTATTCATCGTCTGATATTGTTTAAAGACATTTGAAGCTGCACTGAAACTGTCTTTTGGACCTTGAACCATCCGGTTCCCATTGAAGTCCATTATATGGAGAAAAATCCTGGAATGTTTTCATCAAAAACCTTAATTTCTTTTCGTCTGAGGAAAGAAAGACATGGACATCTTGGATGACATGGGGGTGAGGAAATTATCAGCAAAAGTTTTTTCAAAAGTGAACTAATCCTTTAAAGAGCGTGACAGAAGATTGGTTCAATTCAAATGAGCTTGACTGTTTAGGGCCTTACAAGTGAACAGAAATATTTATAATACATTTGGAATTTAACAGGAAGAGATGATCAAATTAGGGTGATGTGATGATCATATTTCCTTGACCTGGTGTGAATTCTAGCAGCTGCTTTTTTGGACTAAATATAATAGTGTGTTTATTGAAGATGCAGGACGACCACCTAGTGGTGCATTCAAGCTGCTGTCTCATATTGCACCCTGATCTTTAAAGAGGACCTATAATGCCCTTTTACAAAGACTTGAATTTGGTTTTGGGCTCTACTTAAAGGGTTAGTTCACCCAAAAATGAAAATTCTGTCAGTATTTACTCACCCTCATGTTGTTCCAACCCCGTAAGACCTTCGTTCATCTTCGCAACAAAAATTAAGATATTTAAGATATTAAGATCGCTCCTGCATACAGTCTATAGGCTTCTTGAGGGAATGACTCTTGCTGGCCTCGAAAAGTCATTAAAGACATCGTTAAAATAGTCCAAGTGACTACAGGGGCTCAATCTTAACTTTATCAAACGACGAGAACACTTTTGTGCGCAAAAAAACAACAAAAATAACGACTTTATTTCAACTATTCGTTTATTTCTCCATGAGCCTGTAAGTCAGTTAACGTAGTGTGATTGCGTAGGGTTACGTCACACGTAGGCTCACTATTGGCCGACGCTGGTCGTGTGTGTGATGCGTGTGATGTACAATAACAGAAGCTTACGCTATTAAACTAGTAACCTGATTCGCGCAGAGGGAGAAATAAACCAATAGTTGAAATAAAGTCATTATTTTTGTTGTTGTTTTGCGCACAAATGTATTCTCGTCGTTTGATAAAGTTAAGATTGAGCCCCTGTAGTCACTTGGACTATTTTAACGATGTCTTTAATGACTTTTCGAGGACAGCAAGAGTCATTCCCTCAAGAAGCCTATGGACTAGTATGCAGGAGCGATCTTAATATCTTAAATATCTTAATTTGTGTTGCGAAGATGAACGAAGGTCTTACGGGGTTGAAACAACATGAGGGTGAGTAAATACTGACAGAATTTTCATTTTTGGGTGAACTAACCCTTTAAACAAATTCATTCATTATTTCCTCATATTCTCCATTGTTGCGGCAAAGCATCGAGGTAGCAACTTTCCCAACATTGGATACCAATATGGTGCATCCCAAAATTATTTAAGTGAGGAATATTGTGACGTGTTCATTCCCGGAAGAAAACTCAAGACCAATGGAGGCGTTTCTGGGAGTTTTAGACAATCAAATTTGTGTATGAAAAAGAGATCTTTCCCGTTTATATTTCAAGCCGTAATCCTTACAGGTTTCCCATATGTCAATAATAATGTTCTGACCTTTCAGAGCGCCACAGGGTTTCTCCAGTATCTGGACGTGTCGGTCGGTAAAGAGGTCGCGGCCATCTGCACAAAATCAGGCCGTCTAGACGTGATGGCGCAGAATCCCTATAATGCAGTGATTCACTTGGGTCACCCGAACGGCACCGTCAGTCTGTGGTCGCCCAATCAGAAAGAGCCGCTTGTGAAGATGCTGTGTCATCGGGGTGCTGTGCGTTCCTTAGCCGTGGATAAAACCGGCATGTGAGTATCACTATATTCGCTTCAGTGCCCGACTCAAGAAATTATACAAATCTGCTTGTTGAGTCTCGGTTCATTTGTACACAGAGTTTGTTTACCGTAAAACTTCAAATAATAGCCCAGGCTTTTATTAGCCCAAATGGCCGAACTGCACCGGCTTGTATTTGAGACAGGCGTCTATATGAGTCAGGCCTTTAATTTAGTGTCGAGATGTTGTTCATTGAGTGTAGGCCTAGAGATAACGGTTCAAATACAGTGGGGCCAAAAAGTATTTAGGCCCCGTCCACACTACTGCGTTTTCGTTTAAAAACGGAGAATTAAACCGAAAACGATCTCCATCCACACTAGCGTTTTACCTGCGTATTAGAATTTATCTCCGTCCACACTAAAACGACTGAAAACGTGGATCACGTGACCATTCACCAACACTGGGCATGCGCGCGCCGGTCCAAATCCAGGAAATCACATTGTAGGATTTTTAAAGAATTTATTTGAAAATTATGGTGGAAAATAGGGATGGGCAATGATTAATCATGATTAACCCTTGTGCTGCATTAGATTTTTAACACCGTTGAGTGCATTAAGGACCAAAAATGGCCACATATTAAACATTGCCTAAAATATTATATATTATTATTATTTTCCACTTTTACCAAGTTAAATCTTTTAACCAGCATCAGTCCTCATCATAACTACCAAAAATGTATTCAATTTCAGGATTTTAACCCTTTAATTACCAGTTTTGTTTGCGAAACCATTGATTTGTATAAGAGGAAAAAACACAAAAATTCAATTATTTTCAATAAACTAAATGCAAAGAGAAAACTTTAGATTTGGATCATCACAGTCCCACTTTGCAAAAAATCCCACTTAGCGCGTGCGTTAGAGAGCAAAAATGGCCACCTATTAAACATTGCCTATTGCCTAAAATAAGGTGCATTTCCACCCATAGGGAATAAATATGTAGTGACGTCATCTGGTGGAATACACTATATAATGCAAATATAATGCTTTTGCTTCAAAATGAAAGGATGTTTGTGCAAAAATCATGTTTCATGTATTACTGACAGCCTCAGATTTAAACAACGTTTTAATGGGTTTCAATGGGCCATTTTTGGTCTTTATGGTGCTGAGAGTTACTATTTGATCTACACAGTGTGTGTTATACATATTTTGCAAAATGGGATCACATTTTTTACATGTATCCAAAAAGTCCCAATTTTGCCAAATTTCATACCATTTGCATTAAAACAGCCAAAATGGTCAAAGAAATTAAACTACAAAAGACCAAAAATGTCCCTAATGCAGCATAAGGGTTAATTGCATCCAAAATAAAAGTTTGTGTTTACATGATATATATGTGTGTGTGGTGTGTATAATTATTTTGTATATATAAATACTAACACATGCATGTATATATTTAAGAAAAATGTGTTCTTAATATATGAAATATTTATATTTATACATCTTAACCTTTATTTAACTAGGAAAGTCACATTGAGGTTAACCTCTTTTACAAGTGAGACCTAGTCAAGACAGGGTCGGATATACATAATATTAATTATGTATACATATATATATAAAGTATATACATGCAAATGTTTCTTAAATATATACATGCATGTTTGTGTATTTATATATACAAAATAATTATACACACCACACACACATATATCATGTAAACACAAACTTTTATTTTGGATGCAATTAATCGTGATTAATCGTTGCCCATCCCTAGTGGAAAATAAGTATTTAGTCAATAACAGAAGTTCAACTCAATATTTTGTAACATAACTTTTGTTGGCAACGACAGAGGTCAAAGTTTCCTGTAAGTCCTCACCAGGTTTGCACACAATGGGTCTCATTCATGAAACATTCGTAAATATACGAGTAAATATTTGCGCGATACCAATAAAATGTCACATTTGTTTGTTGCAGGCACATGGTGACGTCAGGTCTGGACCGGAAGCTGAAGGTGTACGACATCCGAGCGTTTAAACCCCTTCACTCCTGTTTTCTGCCTGCTGGAGCCTCTTGCCTGTCTCTGAGCCAGAAAGGACTGCTAAGTGCTGCCACTGGAGATGTTGTACAGGTAGTGTACTTGGACACATGATATACACACACACACACACAAGATCAACATCCACAGTCCTAGCCCAGCCCTTAACAATAACCTATCCCTGATTCAGTTACAGTTATACCTAAACAAGTCAAGTCATCTTTATTCATGAAGCGCTTTATACAACACTTCAGCTCAGTGTTGATTCAGTTCGGTTCAATAACTCTAACTTTCAACTAATGAAACGAGTTAATTTCGGCTATAAGCAGCTCTACGGAAGACGAGTCAGTTCAGTGTTAATTCAGATTAACAACAGTGTCGATGTCGCAAACTTCATCAATTATGCCATATTCTAGTGAATCGATAATATTACTTTAGTTAAGTTGGTAAAGTCTCACTGTAGTTAATCATTTAATCCCTTAAAACTCATCTTTGATTAATAAATTGCATATTGAAACTTTTTTCATGGCTTAAAATGTAATGAATGTAACTCGACACCCTTGCCTCATTTAGTATACCCAGTTCTATGAATATGCAAATGAGCCCCGCCTCCACTCACTCAGCTCAGAGATCCACAAAAAAACCTGGAATCATAAAATGATGAGAGTGATTCAGAATTTATCACATTGTGTAAGTGGCGATTGAATAATGGACTGACACTGTTGAGGCTCGCGCAGACAAAAGAGCACATCTCACACAAACTCGTTAACATACTGAGGTAAAAATAAAAAAAAATAATTTATGATACAGTTAAGCAACATCACACGATCAAGAGCGCTGTTTTCCTGAATACCATCATGACTGAAAGTAACACTGATTTCATTCAATACTTCAATAAACAAGAAGTTTATATTAGGTCATTTAAATTTTAGATGTAATATTGTGTGTTTTTGTAATGTTTCAGCAGCGAAAATAGATCCAAACAAAGATCCCAGCAGAACCACAGCGCATCTCACCCCATTACTGAACGATCCAGCGTTTTGAACCAATCGGTTGAGCGAAAGATTCACAGACTCGCTCATAACGAATCATTCTTGAAAGAATCAGCCGTTTCAATCAATGACTCGCTCATTAAGACGGATTACCTGGCGGTTTAGTTTCATGTTTCTTATTTGTATATTCAAAAAATATTTAAAACACTTTCATAACATTATTTAACACAGTTGTAATTTATGTAAATTATTTAATTTGATTGGTAACAGCCATAAAGTGTCTCAATATTCTAATTCAATTTATTGATTAAACTTGATAATTATATTTAATAACATTAGGGAAAAAATGCCCTTTTAAAGTGTAAATATCACAAACATGCAGATTTAAATGAACACTGCTGAGAATATTGCTTCAGAATAAGTTACATTTACACCACGCATACACACACAGAAAACAAATTCTTGAGCGAGTGAATTACCACATTCCTTTATTTCTGATCTACTTGTGAGGAGAAAACGGCATGTAACATAAGAATACTGAATTCTTTTCAATATATTATATATAGAAAATAATATGAAAGAGATAAAGAAATCGCTGTGCATACACGTTGCAGTTGTGAATTGTACACAGCAATTCAGTATTGTAATGTTAGAATGCTTCCTTAATTGTAATATTGAAACAAGCTTTCTCTATAAAGCAGCTTTGAAACAATGTCTATTGTGAAATACATGTAAGCTATACAAATTACCTTGAATTGAGTTAATATTCTAATGCTGCTATTAAGCCTCGTTCAGAAATAGATTTTTGTGGATATCCGATTAGAATCTGATTGTATTTAGCAAGTGTGAATGGCAAAAAATCACCTAATTTATATATATTTAATATATATATATTTTTTTAAGTTGAACATTCTTCAACTCTCGGTGACATTTAATGCGCGACGTGAAGCGTAGTTTAGTTTACTTGTTTAATTAAAAGACACTAGAATACATGAACTGGCATTTACTGCAGGAACATTATCCTGGGGGAGGACACACACACTTGTTTTGCTTCTGACACCCATGATGCTTAGTTGTCTGTGTGCATCCACAGGTTTATAAGAACGCTTGTGGAAGCAGTACTTTATCCAAGCCCTACATGGCCCACCGCCTTCAAGGGCAGGTTTGTGGTGTTGCGTACTGCCCGTTTGAGGATGTTCTGGGGATCGGACATGAACAGGGCTTCACCAGCATGATCGTACCAGGTAAGACACAAACACATGAAAGTTCACCCCTTCATCTGCTGTCATCTGCCGGAGATGAGCTCCGTTCCCAAACATAGTGACGCTTACGCTGCATTGTAGAGTCGTCGGCACTGGCAGAGAAACGCAGCATAGTTTAATGCGAATGAGCAGCAGTTTTCAGGAGTCAAGTCAGATAATGTAGAGTTTCACAGTGTTATTTTAGTATTAACCCTCTGATGCTCTTCCTTTATGAGTCATGTCCTGGGCCTTCCCGGTCAGAAGTGACCGGACGCCTAAAAATGAAACTTCTTCCATCCCAGTAAAACCAATGCAATTTATTTTTTTTCTATGATATTTATTCTTTTTAATTTAGTATTTTGAGACAATTTGATTGAATTTATTCATATTTATGGTCTATTTTTTCAATGGAAATATATATATATATATATATATATATATATATATATATATATATATATTATTTTTTTCAAAAAATATTAATGCAGTATTTTAGGTTAATAAAGAGTCTAGGCCTTCTGAAAAAAAAAATTTTTTTGAAGAAAATTAGGACCATCTGGTTACAGTATAGAGAAAAAGTGTAGAATCATGGTGTAACCACTAGATGGCGTGTACAGCTCTCTATGGAGAAGCATGTGAATTCCCCAGATGTTTATGAACACATTTTTTTATTTTTATTTTTTGGTGGATTTGAATATATAATTGAAACAATCTCAAACTATTTCTTATTAAAAAATGTAAAAAAAAAAAAAAAAAAAAAAAGATTTGTGTTTTTGTCAATTTCCCATTAATTTCCTTTGGGGTCATTTTTGGCCAAAGACCAAAATCGTGACTAATTTTTTTATGACCACTTAGCATGCTCGGATCATGATCTCAATTTTTTTGTGTGTTCACATACCCAATGCCTGAAATGTCACCAAGTTTCATAACATTCAGATGAAGTTGTGATTTTTAATAATTCAAAACAGAAAATTATTTGGTCAGAAGTGACCGAGGACCATCAGAGGGTTGTATTTGTGTATTTGTATCAATTTATTGTTGTGTATGTGTATAAAAGTGTGTTTGTATTTGTGTGTGTGTGTGGGTGGGTGGGTGGGTGTAAATTTTTTGCACTCTTGATGTTGTGTCACCCCTTTATTACGGTATACTTCTTTTAAGAATCGTGGCCGATTTGTAGATTGTACAAACAAAAATTCAGAGAATTTTTGTTTGTTTTTTTGTAAATTTCCCATTCATTTCCTATGGGTCGGTCATTTCTGACCGAAGACCACGATTGTGACTATTTTTTTTATGACCACTTAGCATGCTCGGATCATGATCTCAATTTTTTTTTTTATTCACGTACCAAATGCCAAAAAAGTCACCAAGTATCATAATCTTCCGATGAAGCTGTGATTTTTAATAATTCAAAACAGAAAATTATTCGGTCAGAAGTGACCGAGGACCATCAGAGGGTTAAAGGAGAACTCTGGCGCAAAATTAAACGTTTGGTCTAATAAAACATCGGTACCTAGTCGACCGTTCTCTGAGATTTGTTTTCATGATAATCGAATGTAAAGAGTTTTATCTCTAAAAACTGAATGCTAGTATATAGGGAATAAAATAAGTAAATGAAAACGCTAGTTTATACCACTAACAAGGCTCAAAATAGCCCCACACTAACACAGTAACATAATGAGGGTCCATACATGCAAACCGAAGCATTGAGAACTGTGTAAGTGTACAGATGCTTTATAAAGACAGTTCACTTCATGTATACAGACAGGAGGCATCTTAGAAAACAGTCACGACAAGTCGAACCACGAACGCCGTGCTGACCCTTTAATATCAGGTGTAAACAAGCCCTGAATGTCTCCAAGAATGTACAGGTCACAATTCACTTGAAAAAAGGCGAATGCAAGCTCTTGAATGTCTCTCCAGGTGCAGGAGAACCGAACTTTGATGCGCTGGACACAAACCCGTACCGCAGCTTCAAGCAGAGACAGGAGTGGGAGGTCAAGGCGCTGCTGGAGAAGGTGCAGCCTGAGCTGATCGGCCTGGACCCGGGAGCGCTGGGTAAAGTGGACCAGGCCAGCTTTGAGCAGAGGCACAAGGAACGGGTCGAGGCGTTGGTGAGTTCAGCACTGGTAACCCTGCACCAGTACATGCTGTTAGCTGGAACATCCCATTAGTAGAGTTCACAATATCAGAACATTTCATTTCACCATACAGATATATATCACCATTTGTTTTTATTCATGTTGTAAAATGTATATGGAGTCCCTAGAGGGACATGAAGGGAAAACATCTGAGATTTTTTTTTTTTTTTTTTTTTTCATCACCATGTCCCTTTAGGGGCTTCATAAAAATAAGAAGCAAATTAAAAACAGTACAAAGAAACAAATTAGATCACGTAAAAATAAATAAATAAATAAAAAATACTGCGTAGTATGAGCTAGAATACTTATGTAGTCAAGAGTAGTGAGAGATTTTCTCTTTGTGGTTAAATTAACATTAATGACAGTTTTCACCTTGTTTACGTCCACTTCAGACTAGACATGTATCAGTATTTGGTAATATTATAGATCGCAATAATGAAACATGCACAATATAATCGAAAATTGTTAATTTCAAAATGATTTATTCCAAATAAATAGCGTTTTTAGGCCGGGACACACTGGCTGCGTGGCGTGTCTGTTTTTATTTCGGCTAGAGCTTGCGCACTACCTGCGTGACACGCGCCGCGCGGAAAACGTGTGCATGCTAGAAATAAAACCGACACCTATTTTTCACACGACACGCAATCGTGTTGGAAGGCTATAAACAATAGGAAACAATGTTTATATGTCATTTTGTACACAAATACATTATAATAAATTACATTTTGATGTTTGAAAGTCTAGATTTTGACATAAATTCAGATATCAATGTAATTTAAACTAGAGCCAGACTGATATATCGGCCGATATTAGGCATTTTCCAAACTATCGGTGTCGGCAGTTATAATGGCCGATAAATGAATATTTTAAAAATAAAATAAAAACGGATGAAACACGCTTGAACCATGTCATGAGTGTTGGAGTTGTATAGTTTGTCCACCAGAGGGCACTCTACACCGTTCCTGTTGGCGACACTCGTTGAGTTGGTCACAATACACACATTGCTTGAATAACAATTAAAAGAACATCCCCATCAGTTCTCTCAACTCAAATAAGCATGACAATAAATAAATAAATAAAATATCGGCCGATATATCGGATTTTAAAACCCAAAAATATTTGTATCGGTCTTTAAAATCCTTTATCGGTCGTGCTCTAATTTAGACTAATAATAATGATTATCGATTTTCAAATATTGCCATTATTTTTGCCTATATATAATTTTATGTCATTTTTATTTTTTAAACACTCGAGTCCTGGTGTCCAATACAGAGGTCATAGCATAACATATGAATAAAATATCTTTTTCATTTGTTTCTTATGCTCTTAACAATATGATTACATGAAAAAAAACAACGTTTTGGGCCTCAGGAGGATATAAGGATAGGATAGGCTACAATAACAACATAGTGTGTCTTCTTGATCACCTCCTAATCTCTACAGTTTCTCCTCATAATCTCCATATCGCTTTATAATACAGCATTCTGTCAGAACTCAAATGATGTCAATGTGTTCTGGTCCAACTCGATGGTGTCTGTGGACTGATGTCGTTAGTTCAGACTTTGTCTTGTCTTTATTTCAGGGCTTTGATCCATTGGCAAAAGAGAAGTTTAAGCCCATTAAAAAGAAGAAAGGAAGAAGTTCGGCTGGTTCTGTGGAGAAAAGAAAGAGGAAAGTCGCCTATGAGGATCAGAGGGTATTTACTTTTTACTTTTGTCTCTCTGTCGGTCATCTTTACTGTATTAGCTTGAAGCTCAATGTTTGTATTAATGGTATTTGATGCGGTTTGTTAAACACACCAGTCTAATACTTCAGATTATTCAGACACAGTTTGTTGAGTCTGTTTGCTAAGGTAACTTTAAATAAATGTATATAGCGTTTCGTAACAGGCCAGAATATCAAAGACTTGAGGCATTTTTACAGTTAGTTGTGTTTCTCTTTTGCTCTTTGTTCACATCTCTTCCTCTCTCGTGTGATTCTCCAGGATATAATTCGACAATCTCTACAAGAGAAAAAGGAAAGACAGAAAGAGCTGGAAGAAAAGTCCAAGGAGAAGAAAGAGTCGGGAATAAAGTCGACTCTTGACCGTTTCAGGAAGTAGAGTAGTGGTGCCCGCTGTGAACATGAGGACTAATGCAAAGGAGAACACAGGATTCAGGAGACATTTTTATAACATTTTGTGTGCAAAACAAAGCGATTTGCTTGTTCAATAAAATGCCTTGAATATCTATAAGAAATTACAATGTATTTGAAATGAGAAAATGTATTTATCGTTGAAGACCCAGGAATAGTTTTTGTTTTAAACGCTTTCCACCCCCTTTTTGCTAAAGTTTCTTGTCCACACTGAAAACATAATAAAATATCACTGAGATGATCGCGAGAGACCAGACGTAAAGTTCTCATGCTACTCTGATCATTTTATTAGCAAAATATCTTGGGTTTTTGACACAGGACAACAATTAAGGGTACATTTTCTGTTGTCTTTGCAGGATATACAATTTGTAAGTAAGATTTATCTTTATCAACATTGACAGTGAACAGCACAGAGCTGTCTAAAAACACATCTGAGTACAATATGCATCACATGACTAAATGTGTCATCATTGGGGTTTGGTATAGTTTGAATTTTGACTATTACGATTCTCATCAACAAAACATTTCATTGTAGCTGAATAACATGAACAAAAATCAACAGAGGTTTTAAAAATACCACAGCGAAAACAACTAGCCTAGCTCATATTAACTACAGTTTCAAGCATTATTAAAGACATATTAAACCAATTAGAAAAAAAGAAATTAGAAAGGGAAAAGGCTTTCGCAGGCATGAGGAACGATTTCCCGTTTCCGGCGTGACGATCGAGTCTCGATCGACCCTATACATATACTGTATGTATATAAAGGCTAGATATGTCGTCCACGTTGCTGGCCACTGGAGGTCGACGTCTGCACCTGGCGGCCATCTTGTCACACTCGTAACATTGTGTTAATGGTACATGTACTATTTAAATGACCATAACTTGCTCAATTTTCTACCGATTTTCAAACGGTTTGTTTTGTTATAAACGTCAGAGATGTAGTTATGACACTGCATATTTATGAATAATACGTGTATAAATAAATATTCACCCAGATAATTATAGCCACCTTAATAACATTTGTAAGAAACCAATATGTTTGTAAATCCGTCAAAATTTCAACGAGATAAGAGTATCGTGCTGACCACTCATCTTACATCAGCTTGTCTGTGACAAGATGGCCGCCGGTGATGACGATGGAAACTCCGCCGTAACCTTAGGCTTGTTTGAGATGCGCCGCGCCTCGCCTGCAATGTAGTCGAGAGTAGGCGGCTGCAGTGAGGGGAGGAGTGAAAAAAGCGCAATAAAGCCGGACAGATCTCGGTTCTCGCAGTGAATCAGACACCTGTGAGATCAAAGGCGGATATCGCGGGATTAACGGGATTCACGCTCGTGCACGTGTTGCTAATAAACTGTTGCTTTTATATAAAAATAAATATAATGAACAAGACACCCAAAGTACTTGTTATTTAATTACATTCCAAATATGTGTTTATCATTTTTTTTTTTCTTTACAGACGTGTTTTTATATAGCCTATTGTTTTAACAAAAATGAAATATAACCCATATGGTACTGTCAGAGAGTTTATTCACCCATATGTATACACATAAAACATGATATCAGTTTTAAAATCAAACATTTTAAAAGAGAACAATTCATCTGTCGTTCTTTTATTTTTATTTATTTTACTTTTTTATTAGAATGTAAGTTACAAACATAGCCTACCTACAAGCACCACAATTCGTGAAACAAATAGGCCTATTATACAGCGACAAATAAATAAACATCAGAATAAAATTAATAATAAAATAAATAAATAAATCAAAATAAGCTTAGCTTAAATAGACAGACTTACAAACTTCATCATCTATAAAATGAGAGCTATTTTTCACTTGAACATTTTAGAGTAGGCCTATATTTGAGTTACTGACTAGCTTTCTTATTTTTAACCCGTTTAAGAGATTCACAATATATATCAGTTTCAATAAATAAATAAATAAATAAAACATGGCCTTGATTTGGAAAATTTAGCTTAATGAATATGGAATTTACCTTCATCACTATTGTTTAAACCAATGAGCATTAAGCTGTGTCGTCAGCAAGTCGTTTCCCATCATGCTTTTGATCAGCGCAGTCGGTGGAGAGCAACTGCGCGCGACTGCAGAATCCGACAGGTGCGCCTTGCGCTCGCGAGAGTTTTTTGACATACGTCGACATGACATCAGAGCCAGGCGGACCGTTCTCGGACACATTTCTAACCGGCATGCATCTCGCGCTTATCACCGGTGACCGATTCTGCGCAGATTTTGCTCATCTCAAACAAGCCTCTTTTTTTTTTACAGTCGGTGTGCACTATGACGTCACCGAAGTGTGGAAGTCCACAAGTCCGGAGTGTGCCGTTTGGGACAGGGCCATCTTCAGAGATTCACGTTTTTGTTGTTTACTCGTTAGGGAAGACGCAGATATTTACCTGTGGTAAGCCTCTCGTTTACACGAAAGCACAATTTTTTATCACAGAAAATTATTATTTCTAAAAACTCCTGCCAAAGTGGAGATTTCTGATAACGCCAGTTATGTTGCCGTGTGAACTGGGAGAAACGGGGTTTAAGGTTCTCAAATGTCACATTATCCGCCAGAAAATGCTAAACGTCACGTTAACGCCCGGTTTGACAGAGTTGTGAATATGATGGCACTCCGCGGCATATTTATGCGGGTTGATGTAAATTACAACTTTTTGACAATGATGTGGTTTTATTGCAACATTTTTGACAACGATGTTGTGTACACGATGTTATTATTGAAAACGGAGAGGGGGAAATACGTTCTCTTTGTGTAAATGTGGCCTCAGAGACCGTGTTCAAAATTGCACTCGTTTTCAAAAGTGTGTGTTCTCTGGCACCCAAAACACCGTTGTCGTGTAAATGAATGGCCAAAATGCACGAAGTTTTACTCTTTTTTTTTTTGTTAAAAACATGTAAATGTAACGGAGGCCAGTTTTTTAGCCTCGATCCTTGTTAGAGCGCCCAACTCTCACGCCAGAGACCCGGGTTCGAGGCCCGCTCGGAGCAGGTCAAGTTGGACCCGGGTGGAGGGGTTACATAAACATCCCCACAGACGCCTAATGGTTCCCTCACGATGAAGCACAAAGTCCTTTTCCAAAATATGCACCTCTCTGTATTGAAAACCTGCCAACCTCCCCCGTATCTGCTGAAACTGAGAAAATGGTGATTTTACAATGAACTAGAAATTTTACATATTATTGGTAGTAGGCTATTGTAAAGCAACTTTGTGTATCTGCCAATGCGAATCCGACTTGAAAACAAGTACACACTGTTTTGATTTGCTTCCTTCTGGTTGCTTCCTAATTTGCCTACTTATACTACGCCCTAAAAGTATGCGCTCTTTTTGTTGTGCATACTTTTGTAGCATAAGGTTGGGACGTACTCAGACATTTCACCCTGCAAAAACTAATTTCCAGAAGGTTTTACCTATACAAACTGCCTGTTAAATGGTTCCCACGAGTAATTATTACATTACCACAAATTATCATCTCATGGCCATGGCATATCACTATTCCCGCCTATATTTTTTTTCAGTATGTAAACCATAGACTGTAAAAAGATGTAAACCGAACCGAACATGTCCCCTCCCGCACGCCGTAATAATCTGCTGATGAATATCACTTGTGAACACTAGAGGGAGCCACAGGCACTAGTGGTGTAAACCTGGGCGAGGCCTCAGCTCTTCACAGCTGAAGATACGTTTCCAACAAACGCTTTTCAATGCCTTGCATTGTTCTTTTTAAATGTCATTTCTATAGTAACTATGAATTATGCATAATAACATGCAACTAACCCTATCACTAGTGTAAGTACATGTCCATAATATTACTCAGTCTAACACGCCTCAAAATAAAGTGTAACCCTGTATTCATATATGACAACACATCAGTTGAATGATCCAAAAGAAAAAGCTGTAAACACACAAACAAGGATTCATTACTTCAATGAGCTCATTTTTTTCTGCCTTACATTATTACATTGTTTAAATTAAGACATTTTTAGCTAACTATGTACATTTCTGAAATACACAAGACAGTTTCCTTTGATAACGGATCACTCTAAATTGTAATGTGGACATTTTTTGTAAAGCTGCTTTTAAACGATGTGTGTATTGTGAAAAGTGCTATATAAATAAATGTGAATTGTATGAATTCAATGATTTTGCATTAAATTGTAAATTTGCATCATGCACCATGTAAAATATTTTTCCAAGTTGTAAATGAAACAAAAATGACGTGTTTTTGCAAGAAAAACGTGTTTTCGACTTCAAATTTGCGCATTTCTTTGTGAAATTTCCTACCAATTTCTGGAACAGGACAGCCAAGATAATCTTGCTGTAAATATATAACACAAACCACTATATTCTGTGTAGGCTACAGCAGATGTTCACAAATGACTTCTTTTGAATGCAGCTCACTAATGACCTTTGGTCTGTATTAAAGTCTTGCTATTGATTGAGAAGATGTGAAACCCTCCCCCTAAAACCAGCATCCCGAGCTCAACTAGGCCTTCAGGACAGGAAAAGACTCACAAATGTGTCGTCCTAAGCTTGATTAGTTAGTTAGTTTGAACAGCACATTTAAAAGCAAGCAACATGAGTTGGCCAAAGCGCTTTCCATTATAACAATATTCTAACAGCATAAACATAAACACCAAACCAAAGGATAATTAAAATGCATGACAACAGTAAAACAAGGTAGCCTACAATCAACTGCTAGTAAATGTAGGCCTAAATGTAAGTAAATGCGCCCTCAAACGCGATTTATAAAAACCCAGTGAAGTGCAACATATCCAGATTTTACTGCAGCAACTGAAAAGCCACGATCCCCTTTGGACTTTAGACGAGATTTAGTATCTTTAAAAGTAATATTTGAGATGACCTCCTCAATTGCCTTGTCTGATAGCCCTGGATAAGATCCGACATGTGGGAGCGTGCAAGGCCTTAAAAACACACAGTAAAACAATGGGCAAGTTCCCAGTTCCCAGTACGATTCCAGTTTCATAAAATTATTTAATAAAATGTGCTTCTGTGGCAATTTGTGTCTGTGTACTGTCTTAAATATTCATAATGACAAGGGCAATTGATAGTCAATCTTTAAATTGAATAATATTGTGTTTAATGACTAAACTAAACAACAATAATACAAATTTAAAGCAGATTAGACTTTTTTTTCTCTTTTCTCTTTTTTTGGTGACACATTTTTTCCATCTTGTAAAAAAAGACCACATAATCTCATTAACACTAAATAAA